TATCGGAGACGCATTCGTCTCGCGAAATGTTTGAAGTCTAGAAGCAGTTGTTGCCTGACGCGATTCTTATTTGAGTTATTTTAGTCTTTTTTTTTTCACTGTAATATTTCGAAATTCAATAATTTGAGGAATTGGACTTACTCATAAAGAACAAAGCCAGTAACTTCATTAAAGTTGTCTTCTAATTACCGGACATAGTATGTGGCTCGAAAATGCAAATCAGTTACGAACAACGTAATTGTTTCATGCATGTAGTGATAAACCCATTGTTTAGAAACAAGATAAAATTATTTGTTTCCTCTTGTTAGAAATCAACAAACACTGACGAAGGGTATATCAATATATTTCTGCAGTATCTAGACACTCCGATCATCTAGATGCTTTGATCATATATTTCACCATTTTAATATTTCCAAACCGTTCTTTAAGTCGAACTGTTTTTTTGTTTTGTTTTGTTTTGTTTTGCGGGATTAATTTGCGTCAATGACCACATTTCATTTTCATTTCATTCGTAATTCCGTAGTTCACATCACTCATTCTATAAGATAAACAGTTGAAATTAATAATGATATATAAAACATTTACAAGGAATAAATATAGCACTGTGATAGATCCATGTATGAATAAATTGAGATTTGTACACCGTGAAGTCGTGTTCAACCCATAAGTGACCTGTTTTTTTTTTAATATACCCAGGGGGCGTATTTATATTTTTTAGACTAGGTTTACATTAGAGATATTTTTTTCGGATTAATAAATGTTTTCGAATTCATCGATTCTAAAGTACTCGGGTTCATGAGCGTTTACACTCAAAGAATATTGGGATTCCTAACGGTTTACACACGACGATAACTCCAGGAACATTCATAATGGAAAGGTTACCAAAATGTTTGTTACCTCAAAAAGGTGAAGCAAAAACGTCGCAAAAAAAAAAACGAAGGCTGGGGATAGGTTGAGACGGTCTGAAACTTTATACTCAAAGGCAGGCGGAAAGAGCAGCGGGCGGAAAAAAATCCGGATTCAAAAGAAAATCGTTTGCCTGTAAAGCTCTCCCGATTCAAAAGTTTAGGGATTTAAATTTCCTTCTTTTATCCTGGATTTAAAATCTCCGGA